ATGATAGATAAATCAGAAAGCCGTTCGTTATGCATAACTATAAAACCAGTCGATAATACCATAACAAAAGTGCAACAATTAATTGCCTTTTTTTTTACAACTTTTAAACTAACATAAGAATATTTAAATGAATTTAATTCTCTCTCTCTCTTTCTTTCTTTATACGATATTAGCCGCATGCATAGAAAATCACGATTTACGTAAACGCGTACCAATAATCTGATTAACATGGAAAAAAAAAAAAAGTACTAAAAATTCAACCAAACTAGCCCTTTTTTTCCATGATGGTAAGTATATTTGCACGTATATAGCATAGTGAGAGATAATAACGAGTGAATGATGTTAATGAGAAGTGCACACGCATGCATACACATATATGCATAAATACATGGATGTATATTTGTATATTACATTAAATATATGTAACTGGTGATTTTTTATCGTCGTTATGTATCCTGCTGGAAACAGTCTAGCGACGTTTACTCGCTCGAACAACCATGACTCCGAGAGTTCTCTTGCTTTAACACGTTAACTGCCGTGTCACCCGTATTCGGGTGACAGCAAAAGTTCTCATCAGGCCACGTCACCCGTATTCGGGTGACAGCAAGAGTTCTCATCAGGCCACGTCGGGTGACTCCTTCCAAAGGATTTCCGAACATATTTAGATAAATATRTGACAGGAGATAATAATACTGTTGAATTTTTTTAAAAATCGTTTATTAACAAAATTATTTACAGTGCAAAATATTGAAGCATTCACTGCAAAGTTGCGGTTGACCAGGGCAGCTTGGACAAAAAGTAGTGGGTTTTCTGAGATTTGCTCGTGCCTTTGATCGTTCCAGTTCTTCTCTTTTATTTGCGTAACACCGCTTGCATGCGCGTCTAAGGCTTTTCCCCAAATTATTTCTGCGAACGGCGATGCAATGCGTATTTCGTCGAACAGAAGGCAGTGTTAAATCTTCACTCAGTCCTAGTAACTTTGCAGCAATCAGTTCTCTGAATCGTCTAATATTTACAGTTTTCTTTGTCGCAATTTTGTAAACGACCAAAGCGTTTACAATTGACGTCCCCAGTAGAAGTTCAACACCAAGCTTCCTATACCACTTGATTCCTTTCCTCATCGTCGAAGCATAGGAAACCATTTGGTCTGAATAATCCTATACCACATTTACCCTTATTATATTCGAGGACGGCCAGAGGTTTGAGTCTTGCGGATGGCTGCCGGCTTGAAGAAGCAGCATGAATGTTTTTCGTGCTTTGTGTCATGATAGGAGCGTGTTTCGTAGATAATATTCTCACGTCACGTGTGTCTCTCCATTTGAGTGAGAGTAATAACGTGATAAATGAGGATCGTAATAGATATCGGGGTTTCTTTTTTTTTCATTATTCATTTTTTTCATTATTCATTTCATTATTCATTCATTTTTTTCATTTCGAAAGAAATGTAAACAGACATGCGGTAGCAGAGCACGCATCTTACAGTGGCACGGGTGGCCTGACGGGGATTTTGTTGTAAACACGCGTGGCAGTCAACGTGTTAATAGTGGTTATGGTATTGATAGTAGTAGTGGTGTTACTACTGCCACTGCTGTTATAACCAATGGCCGTACATTTTCGTGCTCTAAGTACATTACAGGAATAACGATGGAACAATGATGTTAATGTCTGGCAATCAGTAACGGTCATTTCTACATCAGAATACGCAAGCCAACTTGATTCTATTACCGATGATTATCCTCCTCCTCCTCCTCCTCCTCCTCCTCTCTATTCGGAACATCCAAAATCACCCTTCCACGTTCTCGTCTACCAATCGACATTACTTTGTTTTTTCATTCGATCTCCAAATGTTTTTCTAATTCAATGAAACACAACCCACATGTACATGGTTTAGAACATCAATATTTTATTAACTACATACATTTTATGTATTGTTAGATCACAATTTTTTTGATAAATATATTTAACATTTAAAATATCCTATTAGTGGTCTGCGGGATTTAAATTATGAATTTACTGGTCCGTGAGGTCAAAAAGTTTGGCAACCGCTGCTCTATAGAGTTGTGTAATTTTAAAATTAAATGCCAATAAATTAATGTTATCTTTTTAATATAATTTTCGTCCACAATATGGCACACACACACACACATATTTCATAATCTTTGTTTTGTAACCAATAAAACATTTAGTCCCATTAATGAAGTAATTTCTTTTAAATTTTTTCTATTGAGAATTTTGAGAGATACAATAAGAAAAGTTATTTTAGTTAATTTCTCCCGTATGAATTTGTTGATCATTACTGTAACATTTTTTTCGGAGGATACTAAAAAAAATTGGTTTATTTCAAAAATAATCCAGAAACCAATTAAATGAGAGACGAACAATTAGCACGCACACGTGTTGAAAAAGCATATTTAAATTTTTCAAAACTCTATGTTTAAATATACGTATGATTAACGTAGACGCTTATATAAAAAACTACGTATGCAGAGCTGTTCATAATTTTTTGAACAATTCTTCTGTAGGGTGAGCACGCCAGTCTCTTTTTCTTTTCTTTGTAAATGAATTATATAGGTAGCAGTATAATGTATAATGTAAAGGACCAAGAAATTTACGTGGAATAATAAAACTATGACTCGTGGTACATAAATTTTATCAAACATTTTCATAGTAATTCAAACTAAATAAATCTATCTACAAATAGAATATTAATAAAAAGTGTTTTTATCTATTAAATAAACTATAAATAAATGAGCTCTTTTACAAAATTCAAAAAAAAAATAATTATTTTATTAATAATTAATTTTAAAACAGTCCTTCTCTCAAAATACGACTGGGGAGCCCAAATGGAATTGCAGTAATTTAAGCAAAAGTATAGGTACAATTTCAGAACGTGCAACGCGTTCAATATAACAAAACTACCCCTATAGTATGGCTGTAAAATTTACGTTAATGAAATAAAAGATAGTATAACAGTCCCATATACAAGGTCACGAAAATAATTGCTTGAAGAATAAGGTTTTGACTAAATTGAACATTTTGAGAGAAATCTTGTTTCAAGGTAAACATGTTTAGTTAAAAAATTAAACAGTGTTTTCATATTTACGATAAAATAAAGTAATATATAATTATATGTTCTCGCATTAGAGTTGGAAAACGTGAGTGACGGATACGTAAACGTTAAAGCTTGTTAGATTAAGGAGACAAATTGTGAATATCCGTCAGAAAGCATCCGAGGCACCGTTAGAGAAACGTTAGCCTCGCAACTAGATCTAACTAATTCACTTGCGACGTTATCATAGTCGTTGAATCTGCAGCTTATGCGCGCGGACAACGTTTGTGGGAGTGCGAGCAAGACAGAAGAAGATTTGTCATAGTGAAAGCAATCGTTTTCCTTCTCGAAACTGGAACGGATAGAGAACGTCTACGAATATACACATACAGACACATATATAAACATACGTTTTAATACTGGGTGAGACAATTTTAACTGGCCACTCAAATAACTCGAATTATTATTAATAACAAAACAACAAATAAATGTGTCAGACGTTACTTACTTGCTTTCAAGACTAGCATAATCCCAATTAATGTGAGGATAATGTATTTACTATGTCACCCGTTACGCGTTTTATTTTTTATGTAAAAAGAAAAAAATTATATAAACACCGAGCACAATGACCATTGTGACCATTGAATAATTCACAGAAAAATATATAAATCCATTTGAAAAAAAAATAACAGAGTTGACCTTCATGTTTTTTTACGTGTCCAGATATAAAAAAATTATTACACAGGATTATGCTAGGCTCGAAATCAGGTTAATTTTGTCCGACATATTTTGTTTTATCGCCAGTAGCAATCATGTTATTTGAATGGTTTGTTTAAAATGTCTTACCGGGTATATAGCTGTTATTATAGGTCTTAACCAAATAACATCGTTCTAAATACTGATTTCAATTTAGTATATGCCGAGTAAAAGCCTATTTTTACGATATATTTTCCTCTTTCCGTCTTACATATTTTTATGTATGTATGTGTGTATTTATGCATGTAAAATATAAGAGTAGATCTATATTGTATAGTTAAAACAAAAGCAATGCATTTTTTCAAGCATTAGAAGAAAGGCAAGGGTGCATTATCGCAGAACAAAACGGTAAATGGTCGTCCGCTTAGGGTGAGAACGTGCTTTGCGGAAAAGTTAAAAAGTATGTCAAGGTTGCGAAGCGTGACGATACGTAGGAAAAACGTTTCTCGTCGAGGGAGGATAAAGAGGAAGAGAAAGAGAAAAAAAGAAAAAGAGAAAAGAAAAGAAAAGAGACAGAGTCGTAAATCGCACGAGGGGAAAGAATGCGCGCGCGCACGCACGCACTATCACAAACGTTACTTGTCATAGTAACTACGCAAGATAAAAGTAAGTATATGTCATGATCACGATGAATTTAATGCGTGGGCGAAAATGTGTGGAAGAGTATATTAAAACAGTTCAAACATAATGGACAAATGTGTATTAAAAAAAAATTACATTAAAATTTATGAAATTTCAATAAAAACTTGTCATGGTTTTTCAATTAATGTCTATTGCTGCGAAATGAACATACAAGAATAATTCAATTAGGAAAAACTAGTTCCCTCAAAATATTAAATAGTAATACGATAATTGTATATTCCGAAATGAATATCTTATAGCCTATTCTTACGTTCGCATATATTTATTAATTTATCTTGTCATCAGGACTCCATCGTTTCAATAAAATATAGTTTAATCCAAAATTGGACATATTTTTTTTAGCTTATGTTATATATATGTTACTGAGAAAGACCGAAATTGATAAATGTCAAGATTCACATGGTCGCATGGTGTATATCTCTGAAATATTAATATATAAGAATAAACCCAAATATATTTCCGGTTTCCAACGACATATTTGATATCTGTTGACAAGTAACCTTATTCGGTCTTTCACTGTGACATATATACATAAATATATTCGTTAATTTACCTTGGTATCGCGGCTCTTCATTTCCTGCCTCCTAGGTAGAGAACTCTCAGGATCAGCATAGACAAGATTTCTGATGAATCCATTGAATCTTGGTTCAAAGATGACACTAGGCAGTGCTAAGAGGGTAAGCTTGCTGTTGTACCAACCGGGCATACCACCGACGTAAACGTCCGAGTTACCGGATAACTTTCCAAATTCAAATTCCTTTCCGCGGGAAGTTGAGATTGCGCTAACACCATCAACCGTAAGCGTGGTATTCTCGTTAGATCTGCTTATCTGTACCTTGTGCCAGTGACCGTCACCGAGGTCGTGGCCCACGGTGACGATCTGCGCGCCTCCACCGAGGTTATATCTGAGTCGTAACGCGCTTTCGACAAGCTTAACTTCGAAGAAATCGTAGGTACCACCGTCATCGGTGTAAAGTAACAAACCATTACCCTGTTCGGTCTTGAATTCGAATTCGAGGCTACCGTTCAATGCTGCGTTCCACTTTCGGAACTGTGCGTAACTCGTTGAGGAGCCATCCAATACGAAGGACAATGCCGCTGGTCCGAACATAAGAAGGGTCATTAATATTAACGTCATAAACGCCATCGCGTTAGCCCCAATAATCCAATGGGTCAAAAACATTATTCGCATTTTCTCTATTATTTGTTTCTATTTAAAATTAACTTTATTATACGATACTTCGATCGATCTCCACTTTTTCAACTTTCTAACTCTATTTGAATATCCACATTAAATACTTTTCTTCTCAACCAGCAAAGTATTAATTATGTACATCGAAGACTAAATTGCGTCAGTTCCACTGGTTGTTTACTCCTCGCCGGCTTTTCCCCGTAACTCTTCTTTGTTGCAAGCAAATGCGCCGCGCATTGGCTGCAGTCACACGTGATCACGCAAGCGCCCACGCTTTCTCCCTCTCTCACTCTTCTCTTCCGTATGCGTGCGTGGGCGTCAGTCAAAGAGAGAAGGTGAATGCGGAGAGCTGAGGCTTTGGGGGAGAAAAAGCGAGGGAAAATACGATATGACGCCAGTGAGAAAGAACAACGTGCTTTTCTTACCAATAATCTTCCTTTTCTATTATATTTTCCTTTTTTTTTTCAAATTTACGATATGTTTTATATATTTCAATGAAAGACGAATGACCTCTTAGAGTATTTTCAATTTTTCGTTTGAAACTTATGAAATCGTATCTTCGTTTCTTTTTTTTTTTTCAATTAAATTAGATTATATTGGATTACTATATAGATGCACTTAAAGTTTCTTTCAATTTTCTTCTTTCTCTTTCTCTCTTTCTGGAAATAACTTATCCCTCACAACACCTCGAGACAGTTAGTTCCACGTCGCTGACACACTTTCACCTCTGTATCTCGTCTTTCTCATTCTATCTTTTACTCAACGTCGTTGTCTTCTCGAGAGTGCTATATAAGAGTTGTCTCTCTTTCTTTACTTTTCCCAACTTCTTCTTCTTCTTCTTCTTCTTCTTCTTCTTCTTCTTCCTCTTCCTCTTCCTCTTCCTCTTCCGTTTCCTCTTCTTTTTCTTCTCTCTCTCTCTCTTTCTCTCTTTAATTCTCCTTCCACGAGCAACCCTTTACTTTATGGTCCTATCGACAAGGCGCACTCCCGATCGCGACGATAAAAGAGAAAGAAGCACACCGAGATTCTCAAGGAGACGAGTCTCTCCCTCGTCGACTCGATCGAACACTGTCTTTTCTTTCTTTCTTTCTTTCTTTCTTTCTTTCTTATTTTCTATCTTTATCTATCCCCTTTCTCTTTTACCCTATCTATTTTTCTATCTATATATCTATCTATCTATCTATCTATCTAACTATCTATCTATCTATCCATCAATCAGTTTATCTCTGTCTATATCTCAATATCCCTCTTTCCTTCGATCTGTTACACATACACGTACTTCCTCGCACTCCTTGAAACCTTAGCGACGGTCATCTGATCGCGAACGATCTCATCATCTCGAACTGCTTTTTCTTTTACATTTATTTCTTTTTAACGAGAACGAGGAAAAAATCGTTCAAATAATAATATTATTCTTTTCTTTATTTTCGCGCACTAATCTTTTTCTCAAAATCAATAAACAAGTGGTAGGATAATATTAAAAAAAATTTAAATTAACCAAATCACTTTCACTTAGCGTGATAGAAAATCTCGAAATATGCGTGCAACTAAGATACATAAGTATGTACACATCCAAACATACAAACGAACGTACAAACGAACGTGGCTCGACCTAGTTGACGACGACGAGAAAAAGAAAGAGATAACCTCGAACGCGGACTCGAAAGAAAAAGCTAATCGCGAGATAGGTTCAAGCTCGGATCAGAGATTAATATCAGAGCCCAAGTATGGTATGAGCCTGTGTAAGCATGTGGATGTGTGTGTGCGCGCGTTGTGTATGTGTATGTGAGTGTATGTGTGTGTGTGCGTGTGTGTATGTATGTATGCGTTCAATGTTGATCGTTCGTGCTGTTATAAAAGTCTCCTTCTCTCAGTAGTGCACGCCGTCGTTCCGACGTACGTTTATTTCGCGATCGATCCGTCTTTCGTGGCCCCGCGTACGCCCCATTTTTTCTCCTTTATTCCTTTGCACACGTCGACGAACACGAAAACCACGAAGACCACGACGAGCAACGATGACGACGTCGTCAACGACGACGACGACGACTAGGACGAAAGACGAAAACGAGGAAGTAGATGATGACGACAACGTCAACGTCAACGAACTACGTCAACGAAAAGGAAAGAAGAAATTTTTCAATCCTTTTCCTCCACCTTTCTCACCTTCTCGTTGGTGCTTACGCACCACTGTACGCGCACCCACACTAAGAAACAAACACTTGAATTTTGAGAAACACTTTGAGAAAGAAGGAAGAGAAAATTGTAACAACCTATCTTTCTCTTACTCTATATCTGTCTCTCTCTCTCTCGCTCTGTCTCTCTCTCTCTCTCTCTGTCTCTGTCTCTCTCTATCTGCCTCTCTCTCTCTCTCTTTCTCTCTATCTCTCTCCTTCTCCCACTTATTCTCTTTCTCTGTTGCTTATGCTGTTTGAATGAACTAGGGCAACGCAGAACGATAACGACGACGACTACAACTTTGACTACGACTTTGACAAGGACTTTGACGGCGACGACGACGACGACGACGACGACGACGACGACGACGACGGCTCCCGGCTTGA